GCCCATACAGATTTTTTTTTCTTTATAGAAATGGCAATTTTACTAATGGAAACATTTATCACCAAGCTATGAAAATAAATATCTCCTTGGCTCTTGAAGGCTATCCTATGGTAGGTTCTGTAACTATTCTACTGAATATAGAAGAAAAATTATGAGAAGGTACAACATGTGTAAGCTTAACAATAATAAAATTGATATTCCTGGGGTGAAGAATTAATTTAAGCATTCCTTTCTTCTATAAAGAATGTAGGAAGTTCTTCCCTGGTGTCTTTTTTTTACTCTGAAGGCAGAATAATGAATGTATAGGCCATTGGAAGTATCCATATTAAAGTGTCCTGGCTGCTTAACAAAAGATGCTTCCATACATCCAATGATAGGGACCCCATCATCTCTCTAGGTAATTAGTTTCTGTTATTGTTGTTGTTGTTATTTTTAATCAGTACTTACTGTTTGGGACTATTGCTCCATCCTCATCTCACATATTTAATCAGAATTTTCTGACTATAATTCTTTTCTTCCTTAAATCCTTTGTTCCATGTCTTCCACTCTGGAATCAATCTACTCCTACGCCCTTGCACAAATATCCCACTCCAATTTGATAAAGAACTGCTTATAAGTATATTTTGGGTATAATTTTCTTGAACCATTTATTTATCTCCTTAACTTCTTAATCAGCTACAGCTTTCTCTTTTCCTTATTGGAATATTCCTGTGATACTTAATCAAATGCTTGGTGAAAATCCTCCTGTAACAAAGGATGTTCTCTAATCTACCAATATTCTTATAATCTACCAAGGAAATCACTTAATCAGTAAATGAGATCAGATTTATTAAGCAAGACTTGTTCTTGACAATTCTAATAATTGACTTCTAATAGTTTCTAGACATAAGGTGGCTATAGATGAATTGATGATCTGCTCTAGTATCTTCCCAAGTACCAATGTCAAAACAACTGGTCAGGATTTCCTACTCCATTTCCTGAAGGTAGTGACAATAGTTGTCTGGCATTTCTCCAGACATTCTCAAAGTCAAATAGCCCTGCATGTTTAAGCTGATTTAAAGTAAAGAGATATGCTTTGATGTGCTTTATCAATCACAAGCCTGACTTGCTCAGTGAACATATGTCTCTTCTTGGAGAAGAAACTAAAGTGAAAATGGATGATCCTGGCTTTTCTTTGATATGTTTATTGTTATATTTACGGAATATTTGGTAGATTGATTCTTTTTTTCTTCTTTAATCTGGCATAAGTCCATTATGTTTTTCCTAGCATCCCTCACCAAGCCAGCTTAGTTTTGTTGATGTTATCTCTACCATTTCAGGCAAATCTCTGCTTTTAGCCTTTTTTTTAAAGGAAACTCTTGTGGTATGCTAAGCTGTTTTTCTAATTAGCTTTTCCTAGCATGGAATGCTAGCTTTTTATTGCTCAGAATTATTACATCTACTTTCTTGAATTATAAGGTATGTGTTCATCTCTATTTAGCATAGTCTCTTTTCCCCAGTGCACCTGTTACTTGATTTGTTCACTAAGTCTTTCATATGGAATCAAATTTGTTCCATCCTATACCTGCAAGTGAAGCAAGTCAGGAAATTCCTAGAAGGACTATGCTTGGCAGAGATGGGTTTTAGTAATGAAGATAGATACCCCTGCTTTTGGGAACAATGCAGTTTGCTTCTGAAAAGCATAATCCGTATATTTTGCATGGCTGAGTACATTATAGTAGATATCAATATATAATTAATTATTTTTTTCTCCACCTATTTGAAGATGCTTTCTATCACTTTCACCATCACTAGAATCATTTATTTGACATTTTAGCAGTGTGGATATTTTTAATATATCGTGCAACCTGATCTTCCCTTTTGGGCATCACACCTGATTTTGGCAGTAAATAGCAAGTGCATTTAATCCTACATTCGTTTTTTGCTAGACTTGGCAGAAGACTCCAGACATGATTCAGTTAGATTAATATCTTTATTGCAGATATAAATGAAATCTCAAAACTAGCAGTTGAATGCCCATTGCAGTAGGAGGAAATTAAAGATATTACAATGCTGTTTATTTTTATTGCTTTATGATTATTTTATCTGTGGATTGATTTTGAGGGGTGTCTTTTTTTACTGCTACACAATTGTATTGATACCATGAACATTTTAATGTGATTGTAACCTTCCAAAAATTTCTCAAATTACAGCAGGGAAAGGAAAGGAAAGGAAAGGAAAGGAAAGGAAAGGAAAGGAAAGGAGAAGGAGGGAGGGAGGGAGGGAGGGAGGGAGGAAGGAAGGAAGGAAGGAAGGAAGGAAGGAAGGAAGGAAGGAAGGAAGGAAGGAAGGAAGGAAGGAAGGAAGAAGATTCTGTCCTAGAGTTTAAACTCTAGGTCTTTTTCTTCTAACCTTCTAAATTAACTGGTATTTGGAGATTTCCTGAGACATATTTATATAACAATACTCTCTTGCTCACCTCATCAGCCTCAGTCTTTACTTTCTATTAGTTTTACCTTAAAAAAAAAACAAGTAGTATTCTTCAGTTGCTCTATTCCAGTCCTGAAAACCCTCCCACCAAGAGTTTTATATCTATCTGGCCACTTGTACCAAGAGCCAAAGCTCATCTTGCTCATTTCCTGCACTCCATATATTACTACATATACAACAAAGAGCAAGAATTAATGCTCCTCCAAATTTTTATTAAATACTTTAAAAGGGTTCTTTACAGAAACATTCTCATTTCCTTCTATACTGCATAAATCTTTATTTGGATCTTTCAGGATAAATTAATTATCTCCTGTTCAAGTTTCATATGCTTTGTGTTGACCAAGCATATTGCTACCAATTTTTGTAAGGGCCAGCCCATCTTGTGCCTGCAATATATTGCTCAGGTAACTTATACCAGAAAATAAATCTCTCCCTTCAGTACTATTTGCAGAGACTATACATTACAATAGATGAATTGATTCCCAAATTGCCAAGAACCATCTTTCCATATACAGTACGTTTGCTAACCAACAGTTTAGCCATAGCTTGTTAGTAAGCCACAGTTGCCGAATTTTCATAGTGAAGTGAAAACCTAAAAAATCACATGATGGCTTTGTCTGAGAATATTTGTTTTGTTTTATTTATCAAATATCTATACTGACCATCACCCTTGCATGGCTCTGTGAACATGGCCTAGCCATCGCTAGGATTATTGGGACCATAAAAGATTTATCTTGAAGTGCTTTGCCCCATGGAGATGTAGCATACTGCCTTGATGAAGAGTTGATATGCGACAAATCTCCCTCTCCACCAAATAGAGGGGGAGCACATCAGTGCTTCACAGAGGTGATTCAAAGGAGGCCTTTGCTTAGATACCCAACATATCTCAGTGATCAGCACAGGCCTAGCTATCATAGCAAACTAATCCAAGTTGCAGGAGCAAACTACATACTGAAATCTCCCAGGGCACATTTGCCAGAGAGAAGTGCTTTTCCTATGTGTGGCATGTAGCCTATATATGAGCAACAGAAGTGTCCCACTGAAATAAATTGGATGTACTCATTTTATAACCTAGATGCAAGCAAGCAGCCTAACTGTAATATGGAAAGAATTACCTTCAAAGTAAATATTATTTCTTCATTCTAAGAATGAAAAGATGCATCTAGACGTTGACAAACTCAATCCAGATTCTTCTCTATTTTGAGAACATTAATTCAGACACAATAATCAAATATTCTGATTTGATACCTACAGTACTTGGAGCCAGACAGGAAAGTGATGATGCAACAGCAATCATTTTATGTGCATGTTTTTCTTACATTTTTACTACCAAATAACATGAAATGTCATTGAGATAAGGCAGAGAAGGAAACAATTGTTTTTTTTTTAAATTTCAGTCTCAAGATTATTTCTCTTCAAGTCTTTGGTTTGATAACCCGAGTGTTATCAAGAATTAAAAATCTACACATGCCAAAAAGATAAATTTCCCTCCTGCTGCTTAAAAAAAAATGCAAATCCAAAGGAATGTATTTGCTAATGCTATTATGAACTATAAAACCAGAATATCTTAAACTCACTTTTTGCTTTTAATCTGTCTTGAGCAAAGCTCTAAATTTTCTTCCAATCTTCTGAAATTTCATTTTTTTTCCAGTGAAACTAAAACTGATCCCTTAAACTGGCTCATGCCTCCTGTTCTTTGTCTTCATGAAAAAACACAAGAATAGAATGATGAATGTGATTTTCTGGATTATAGCCAAAATATCCTTTCTCCTATTTTTTCAGCAAACACAGCTGCCCTTGTTCATATAGAAATGATTGTAGGACTGAGGTGAGCTGACTTAAAAAAGCAAAGAGATTCCTCTGCTTTTCATCAGCTTTGCCCAGTGCAGCTGAGCAAAAATCAAGTTCTTTCCTCCAGGAGTGTCAACAAACAGATCAGGTAGATTAACTGCCTTCAGACTAATCTCTACTGGAAAAAGAAAAATAATAGTTTTGTTTATAGGACATGCTTATCTGTGATCAACTGAAATCTCATTTACCCAATTAATTCAATTTTCTAGGTCAGTGTTTGTCAAACTTGGCAACTTAAGATATGTGGACTTCAATTCCCAGAATTTTGAGAGTTGAAGTCCTTACATCTTGAAGTTGCCAAGTTTGACAAGCGCTGTTCTGGTTAACTAGGTCTCCACATCTTTTAAAGCTAAAAATATGTCTGAAATTTGTTTTTAATATGTTATGCAAATTGCAGCCAATATGATGGGTACATAAGTTCATAACTCACCTAGCAGCATGTGTCTAGGGGTGTTTGATGTATGGTTGTAGTAGAATTCTTTACACCAGCTTGGTTATAGTATTCTTTATGCCAGCTTTATTTTGGTAATGACAGCTCTGTCACATGAATTGAACTGAGAGAGTAATATATCGAAGTAAGTCATAGTTCACTTAACTGTGGTTTAAAGAAATACATGCTATTGGTTAAATTCAAACAATGTATTATGCCAATACCAGACAAATGACACACTGGGTCCTAGTGCAATATGCCAGTCAATCCAACTTTATTACAAATCACAACCCAGAGTTAATAAAATAAATTACAGTATATAATACAAAGTACAATGTAGGACGCATGAAATATGAGTGTGCTGCTTGTCTGAATAATATAGCACAAAATCCAAGTACAGTTAGTCCTCACTTAATGTACAATGACCATTTGCATTTACAATCGCTTTACAGGACTGGATCCAGCAGTCTTAATGTTTAGGTGTGGTTTCATTAGGTGGATTTGCAGTTATTTCCAGACATGTCTCCTTTAGATGTGTAGCATTCAAAAGCTTTTCTAAGGCTATGCTTGCCTTATCAATCATCTTATGCTGCCTGAGCAAATAACTGTCCCTAAATCCATTAGGCAAGAGATCTACCAATGTTACACAGTGTTCTGAATAGCCTCACTGATCAAGCATTCTTTTTTTGTCTCTTCTTCAGGCATCCACTAAAGTTTCTTCTACTTGCTTTGATCAATTGTTAACAAATGACAATAGCAAGGCATCTTGAAGGAACTAATTTTGCACAGCTGGAATAAAGAAGACAGGATTTTATGATGGGATTACAAGTACATGCCAAATAGTGGAACTCTTTTCTCTATATCCCTAAGGCACTTGGTAGTACAGCAGCAAATTTTGAGAGCCCAGAGTTCTTTACATCACAAACTTTATCAAAGAAAGAACATTCTCCACAAACACACCCATTCCTGCTTTCATATACCTGGCTCTTGCAACTCAGTGTTGGCCAAATATTTAGTCCAAGAACGTAGGGTCCTCTATTCCAACAGAGAAGCCTGGCTAAACTCTTTTATTTTGGGTCTTTTATACTCTTGCCAGCTGCTGGTCTAATTGTCATGCATAACATAATTTACACATTGTCACTTTAAATATTTATGTCTCTAGCCAATGTCCTCATTCTTCCAAGATCATCTTTCCAATCTCCTACAGTTTGTTTTCACATTCCTTGAAGTTTGGTATGCAAGAGTCCACTGGACACCCCATAAATTTAAATAAATAAACTAATAATATGTATACATACCTGTTACAGATAATGGTTACTTGATCTCTTTTTCATAGATGTGGCTCCAACTCTTTAGTGGGTTTTTTTTCCAGTTTTGTCCTACCAGCTCCATTTTGTCACTTAAATGAAAAGACAAAGACAGAAGTAGATTCTAGACCAGGGGTGTCAAACTGCTGGCCAACAGGCCGGATGCATCATGAGGAAACTGCACCCACCCCATTGCTGGCAATGGGGAAAAAGTTCTGATATGTTGTACGATGTCACGTGACATCACGAGTTTGACATGTCTGCTCTAGACCATCACTGTAAAATCTTTTAGAGACTTCAAAAGTCCTCAACAGAGGGCCATTTGCTTTTGAATTGGACAAAACATGAGTTTCTCTAGGCGTCTAGTCTATTTCCAGAAGCAGCTCCATTTAAGAGGCAAAAATCCAATGTATTGATGCATTGTATCATGCAAAAGTTATATATCCCATCTTCAGATTACCACTGGCTCAATGGTGCCTGTGGACAATTTTCTGGAGGGTAATTATGGGACCTAATTTTGAATTAAAATGTCCTCCTAGGATGATCAGTCCTTCGGTATAGTTTGCTACCTAATCAAACATACTCTTCTAGACCTTGCTAGGTTTCTTTATACTGAGACTTTGTCTTTGCAGCATATAAGTACACATTTAAACACAAAAGGGAATATTGCTAAAATCTAATTAGACTAATATGGCCACATTCCTAAATGTGTCAAGCTTAATGCTATTTATTCATATTCTGCCTTTATTATTTTTATAAATAACTCAAGGTGGCAAACATATCAAGCACAACTCCCTCTTCCTATTTTCACAACAACAACCTTGTGAGGTGAGTTGGCCTTTAAATTAGGAGGAATATAACACAATATGTAAATAAGATTATTTATTAGTCAAAGTGAGCTCCACTGCAATAAACTTGAATCTTTCCATCTTAATCCAGTTCCTTATCCACTATATGCAATTTTCAGTTGTGGGTATTATCCTGGAGTAGACCTAGAGAGACAACATATTTTTCCTGACTATTCCAAGATAGTTGGAAGACTCCATATTATTGGTGAAGAGTCCACCACGTAGCATCCATGCTGTCAGTTTAACATTGGAAAGAAACCTTTAAAAAGAGCAGACATGTGTGGCTGAAGAATGAACGCTTGTTCATAGCATAACCTAACAGAGCCTTAAATTGTTTCAGTTATGAACTTAAAGGGTTTCTTCACATTGCATGGTTTGCAATTCAAACAAATATGGCCACAATAAAGCTTTCAGAGCACAGAAACTGGGAGTTGGCTTTAATACATGCTTAAGGTAAGAGCGCTGAAAATACTGAAGAAATGTTTTCCATTCTGTAGGTTTGAGTCATTATTTCTGGTGAGGATCATGACCCGTTTTTAAAAAATTATTATAACAATACTTCTGCAGGGAAATTAAATGTTGCCCAGGGATGTGTTTGGGAACAGAAGAACAAATTGTTCATTTAAAGTACATATTCTGCACATCGTAAAACACATAAAGGGAAAAGAAAAATCTAAAATTTGAAAAGGAATGGGCAAACCTCTTAGAATAAGCTTTGGAGCAACACTCAGAAGTTTGGAAGCTGGGATTCTGTTCTTGTGACTAGGCTGCTAACTCCATGGAAACAGACTTTGGCCATGAAATTCTACTGCTGTTTTATTTCCACTTCAAAATGAAACTGAATGCTGGAATCTTTAACCTGCTTGATCCAGCATTCTCTCCAGTGAAATCCATGCAGCACTTCCAGTGAGAGAAGTTGAAAGTCTACACTCTAAATATGAAGAATATTTTTTTTTTCAGAAAAGCATCAGTTTCCCTCTTCTCCTTATCCGTTTGTAGTAGGAACAGCATAATAATACGGGTAGTACTATGACTTATGATCATAACTGATCCCAAAATTTCTATTGCTAAGTGAAATATTTGTTAAGTGAGTTTTGCCCGGTTCTACAAGCTTTCTTGTCACAGAGGTTAAGTGAATCACTGAAGTTGTTTAGTTAGTAACATGGTTGTTAAGTGAATCTGGCTTCCCCATTGACTTTGTTTGTCAGAAGGTCACAAAAGGAAATCATATGACTCTGGCATACTGCAACTGTCATAAATATGAGTCAGTTGCCAAGAGGCTGAATTTTGATCACGTGACTATGGGGAAGCTGCAATTGTTGTAAGTGTGAAAAATGGTCATAAGTCATTTTTTTCAGTGTCGTTGTAATTTTGAACAGTCACTAAAAAAATTGCTGTAAGTCAACGACTACCTGTTATGCCTTTTGTAGTGTATATCTGACCTTTGACCCAAAGGTTATTGACATCAGGGCACTGGTGGTGCTGGTAATAGTGAAAATGTCATCTGAAGTGTTGGCCAAACACTTGGTTTCAATGTAAAGTTTCTGCAGGAGTGCTGTTAAATTGGCTGTTAAACCGAGATGAATGCCTCTGCATTTAGGTAGACATTTTAATGAACATTCAACCAACTACGCATACTTCCCCTAAACATAAACTCTGGGCTTTCAAATGCATTTTCTAATATTTTCAAACATTTGCCCTATGAGCATTATAAAAAGCATGGCAGTTAAAAGCTGGTTTAATGAGCCTATCGTGATATTCATATTTCAGTAGTCATTTAATGAAGGTCAGGTTTAGAGCTGTTTAGACTCCTTAAACTACCAGAACATTTTAAAATAGATTTATTAGTTCTTCATAAATTTCTTTGGCTTTTTCTCAAAATGGGAGCAGTAAATTCTGCTTCCTAGTAATTTCTTTTTTATCAACTTTTTCTACTCCTTAAATTTATTTACTGGCCAGTTTGGAAGACTCACAACTCAGAGTCATTAATATTTTTTTACCTATAGGTCTTGGGATCCATGTGGGATGGATATAATGGCATCAATATGCCCAGGGCTTAATTCTAGGGAGACTGTAGAAGCTGCCTGCCTTGAATTAATTTATGTTTCAGAGAACATTGCCACCCACCTCTAACCCCCAATCCACACTGAGTAATCAGAATCAGGCTACTCTGTTGGGGCTTTAAAAGGATTTATGACTCAAGGCACACTTTCCATAATGTTCACCATTCCAATGAATGTCATTTGACTCTGCTGATGTTAGACTTGTTTTAATCACAGGCACACCTTCAGTTTCTGTAGCTGATATAACTAAAGCATTTTCAGATTATTTTGTTGTTCCAGACTAAGAATTTTTTTTTAAAGAAGTTAAAACTCAAGAAATATTAAAAGACCAGAAGGCAAAAAAAGCCCAACTCTGTGTCTTCCCATAATTAATTACCAGTGACAATTGTATACTAATCCTTCCTCCAAAGGATGTGGTAAGAATTTAACAATGTATGTAAATCCAGCCACTGGTTCTGTCTTCATATGTACAAACTTAACAGACAAGAACAAGGATAGAGAAATGGGGAGTAGAGACTGAACTCTAGAAAAACATGAAAAAGTCTAATGCAAGGGTCTTCAAACTTGGCCCACCTTTTGGCTGAGGGATGGTACTAGATGGTCTGCTTGCAACAATATTATTTGTGAGATATCCAGATCAATTACAAATTGCATCACCACTTAATCATTGATAATATCAGGACTATTAAATTATGGATTTAACTTTTTCTGTTCTTATTAGATTAGTTTTATCCCAATGCATTTGGAACCTGTTTAAGCATTCTAAACTTGCTGTATGTATTTTGGGGGAGATATTTTTAATACTTTATTGTTTTTAATTCTTTTAACTGCTTTACAGTTTTAAAACTGTTTGCCACCTAGAATCATTTGGCTGAGATAGCTATAGAAATTGAATAAATAGAATAAAATAAATAAATGTTCTAAATCTGAATTGTACTGTTATCTCCATTTGATGTGTAGGAAGTCAGCACCTCCCCCTACAAGAAGGAAATATTTTAGGGGATATTAAAAAAGACAGAATATTATATTTCCCCAAAAGGAATAATGGGGGAAAAAATCTTAAAAGACTTTTCTGCCCCAGTCTCTCCCAAGCAGGCCAGCTTTTAGAAATGCAGATTTGGTAATTCATTCAGGGAAATTGGGGCAGGAAGGCTGGAGCTGAGGGGATTAGAAAAACAAAGACTCCAAGGACAGGAACATGACCTTTAGGACATAATAGGATTAACTCACCACCATTAGAACACCAAAAGGGCAGACTCAAGCTCAGGTCAAAGTACATTGCACAGGAGCAGGAACAACCTCAAATACAAAGTCCAAAGAAGGTATAAAAACCCACTCACTCCCAACTCCATTTTGTCAGCCATCCCAGAAACATGCTGTGTCATGAAGTTTCTGGCAAGTAAATAAACAAGAACCTTCTTTCCCAAGCAGCCTCCATTTTTATTTCCAGCATCTTATTTACTCCCAACTTGGACTGGACCTGAAGATTTTTCTTTCAACAGATGAATCATGCTGCATAGAGAAATCATATGTTTCTCTACGTTTCAAAAATATGGAATATAAAAATATGAGTTAAAATCTTTCTGATTTTAAGTTTGAATTACTCTTTTTCTATCAAATGTTCTGTCTTTGCTGTATTTTTTCTAACTCAAACAATATTTGAAATCCTAGTCAAGATCAAACATTTTTCACTTAAATTCATTAAGAAAATATAGCACAAATAAGGGATTTGAAATGATGGTATTTTAAACTTACCAACTAAGTAGGTAATTTGGGGATTAAATATCTGAAGTAATGAATAGAATTCAAAGCAGTTATACTTAGATGAGTTCTAAAGAAAATACTTATTAAAGAATGAAAAGATTCCTTCAGTCAAGTATTTTGTCTTTAATTCTGAGAGGAAATCTATTATTTAAAACAGTTCAACTCATAGACCACAGCTGATACATTAATAGCGCAAAATGGTACTTAAATTAATAGCGACATTTTATTGATTAACTGTTGTCTGCCGAATCACTAGGAATCAATCTCACAATAGGAATAGTTGTCATTCTCTTGATTTCTTGTCTTCTTTTAGACTCATTTAGAATGACATTGATAAAAAAAATTGATCTAGTTTTTGTGAAATAAATACTATATGTCTTTGAAAGTTTGGATGCTTTTGAAAACTATTTTGCTTAC